GACGCTAAGAGGGTCTCTTTTTGCACACTGTGATGAAGCCATTAAACTTTTTGCTTAAGAGGCTTACGTTCTAAAGTCAAACCAAAAGGCACGACCTGAAAAGCGCCGTAAGATTATAGTACAACTTACAATGTCCAAGCAGCTACTATTTAAAACTTTTCCGGGACACTTAAATTCAGGAGTATAGATATTCATTTTGTACAACGTTTCATAGAAAGTCAGGTTTGCCTTAGAAATTGACAGTAAGCATTTGCGACAACCAAAATTTCAAGAAGTTAAAATTGTAATTTTATCAACCGAATTATTTTTATTAATATTTTTTAATTTTGAGAATTTTGCAATAAATTCAAATGTTTTTTATTCTTTTTTAAATTTTTTAACAATAAATAATAATTTGAAAATAATTTGTGAATTTTTACTTTAATTTTACATTTAAATCGTAATTAAATAGCTAACAAATATTGAAAAAACAAGTTTACTTTGCCTAAATTTGTAAAAAGAATAACTTTTTAAATGAACGATAGCTTCATTTACTTATTTAATAATAGTAAAATAATTCCGAATTTGAAATTTTAATTAATATTTCGTATAACAATATTTTTTGTGACATTTTTGTAAATTAAAAGAAATTAAGTATAAAAGATGCATTTTTTTCCTGGGGTTCAGGGCTACTCTACGAATTCGTAAATATGCCCATTGTTATTTTTTCGTCGAGCTACCCCTGTTTAAAAAAAAAAAGAAGTTTCTACGATGAATAGAAGCCGAGATATTGCAAAATTTACAGCGCGCATCAATTTAAACTTCTCTTTAAAGGGCTCGTGAGTCGTTAATTTTCCACATTTTTCAATGCAATTCACGGAAAATCGTAGTTTACATCGTAAACTTTATTTTGCGAAAAATTCAAGTCTTAATATTTAGATATAAACAATTGCGCTATGATTTAAAAAAAAATCTTATCTTGGCTCCTGTTGGTCGTAGAGGGTACTTTTTTTTTATTATAAAACTGTATTTTTTGCCAGCTATCCATTGCATCTATTTTCGGTTAGTTAACATAAATAGCAACATGTTATTCAAATTGTTTATAAGCGAAAAACACACGGTTTTTTAATGCACAATTTGAGAATGTTAATGTCAAAAAACGGTGATATTTTTTAATAAGTCGCTTAATTACGTCTTTAAGGTTACAATGACGCTTTCAGAATCATGTTTGGTTAAAAATTAACGCCTGTACAGAGGCTTAAAGTTCATAACTTTTGGAGCCTCCGTTATAAACAAATATAATTGTTCGAAAACTATTGCACCTACAGCGCCCACTTTTGGCATACTTTTGAAGTATGACAAAACCCTCAACTTGTCATAGGCTTTATAAAATTTTGACAATAAATGCGATAGTTATAAACAAATTAAAAAATGGGCACTTTTCTTGTTGTTTTGCAATAACTTTTTTGTTTATTAACCGATTTTAATTTAACAAGTCTCATTTTGTAGATAATTTTACTCCGTATAAGCTGTCTGTGAGTCACTTTTCGCTAAAATTGATGGTTTTCCCTGCAAAGTGAAAAAACTGTTTTCCTCACTGATTTGTTTAAATAGAAAAGTTAGCTAATAAAATTTTTTGACTCACGAGATGAGAGATGTCTTGTATTATGTTCCTTTAGACAATTTCACAATAATCTCGCGGATACGAATTTTTTCGAGTAAAAATTTTATTTGCCTGGCCTATATGTCTTTCGCGGAGACACCGCCGAAAACCTGGTGAAAAATACACTTCCGCGCTTTGAAATGCCATAAGTTAGAGGAATCCACGAGCGACACATGTCCCTATTTGTGAGCTGCCCAAAAATATGGGTAAATACGCTGTTAACCGACTGTAACGGCGTCTACCCACATCATCATACCTAATCCGGGCTCCCTTAATCATACTCAGCATCATTTGTCAGTCTTATCATACGGACGTCTTGTAACCCTTAGTGGGCCACCTTCTCTTCCACGACACCGCCATTTGTTCATATCAAGTGAGCAGCGAGCGCAAGATGTACACCGCTGATGAATCGTCTTCTTGTCCGGATTAAACAATATATTCCAGTCGCTGCTAAACCAAATCTCATTTATAGCTGGAGGGTGGGATGTACGCGTTGCGGTTTCCGAAACGTTGCCGGCGCCGAACTAATAACTGCCGGGGAATTTTGAGAAAGTCAGATGGGGTTGTCAGGCTGCGTGCGAAAGGGCGGGTGTGATTCCGTTCCTCGGTACACCTTAAATCTCGTCAAAGAAATAATGAAGAGCCGAGGCGGGTATAAAAGCCATGAAAATAGAGCATTTAATTAAAAAGGCCCAATGTTTTTCGAAATAAAGTATTTCTAATAACCTTTTTTGATAAATATATTCTCCTGATACCGTTTCTCAAACACATCTTTGGGAATGATTATAATTTTTTTTATGCATAACGATAGCGTTCTATTTAATACTTACAGCACTAAAGGTGTAAAGCTACATTAGGTCACACCATTCTCCTAAAGAACGAGAATAAAACGATTTCGTGCCAGTTATTTGCAAAGAGATTTGTCTCCATTCTGATGTATTCCCTTAAAAAGGGGAAACAGAGCAAAAAACGTCACGTAAATAGTTTTACGCCAGTCCTGCTGCTCCGGATAGCTCCCGGAATGCACGGCATCGTGTACGTGGCACGCTTTTTCGACCCCGTCTAATTCGAATTCAAGATCAAGGATCGGACACTTTTTAATACTTGTTTCGACACGATGCAATATCAGGACCTTTGGGCGGGCAAAAAACCGCAGTCTGCTACACTTGTGTCATGCAGTTTTATAAATTTATATCGCCTGTTCCGCGACCCAGCTGCACATTTTATTATTGTATAAACGGGTAAAAAAAATGTAATGGGCTTTGTTCCAAATTCATGCATTCTGATGGTCGTCTGCCGTGCAACGTTTCGCCTGATTTGTTGTATTTTTATTAAACGTTTTCGTGTGTTTTGCTGCAAGTGCAGCGTCTCGATCGATTAAATCTCGGCTATACTAAGAATTATATTCCATTAATATTTATTTTTTATGCACATTTTCCTGCTTGGATCTGTGGAAGATTAGATCAGCGACAGTGAAGCTTTGTAATGTTATTTACAGTCTGTTATTTGCTATTGGTTGTCTGTGGTAAATTACTAATAAAACCTACCAGTTTCGCAGTTCACATCAAAACATGGTTATTTACTGTGTCTACGTAACAGAGACATAAAAATAAAAACGAACCCGGGGCCATATTGGGTTCGACAGCTGTTACCCAGGGCTCATAACGCGGGGCAAAAGTATAACCGCATTGCGGTAGGCTCGTCTGTTTGTTTTTGCATAAAATGCATTTCGAGAACATCTGCCTTATTTTCTGCTTTTATGAGATGGTGGATAAGTAAACATATTTTCTTGATATTGAAATTTCATCTTCAACTGAACCTCTTCAAATTGTGAACTATTACATAGACACACGAAAAGATTGTGTTAAAATCCAAGTGTCATCTTTTTCCCTTCGAACACCGGCAGATAAATATACTTCACACCACCATTCAGTGAAGTAATTTACTCGAGCCGATGAAAAAAAAATGGAAATCGGCATAATCGATGGCTCCTTCGTGTGCGATAAAAATTAGACCGAAAACACGTCAGATATACCCATTTGCGTGTTGTAGAAATTGAAAATAACGAAAACCATCCTCGATAACTTTCGGCGTGTTAACGTATGATTAGTTGGGAGCTTCGGTGACGTACCGAGCGAGGTCGAAGGTCGGAGCGGTAAATATATCAGAAATATGGCAAACATTGTACAATAAACGAACAGGGTAGCCGGCAATGAACAAATGCACCTATAACATCGAATGGCACTATCCGCAGTATCATACGGCAAATTTCCCTCGGGGAACAGACGGAGCAGGATCGGGGCATGATGAAACTGTAATGCTCGTCTCGAGCCAGTGGCGTGCGCGGGAGCAAATTTGATAAAATCCGCACGATATTTGTTGAAAGCCCATAAAGTTCGGTTAAAGCAACTACTGTAACAATTTACAGCGGCGAGGGCAACAGAAATTACGTTTTTTTAATCTTGAAAGACTGTTCAGACTGTTCTAATTCAAGATCAAATTCGAAAGTTCCATTTATTTTTTCTATTTACTGAATTTAACTGTAAACAGGACTCGTTAGTATTTTTTTCTTTCTATTTCTGGTTTTCTCAATTTTCTCAAGGAATTGTTTCACATTTAAAAACTTCATTTGCTGTCTGGAAGATGTCCGCTTTCTACTTGAGCTACACAAGCTCACGTAAAAAAATACTGATTACACCGAAAAAAAAAAAAATATTTCACTGATGAAATGCGGTACGAAAAATATATAAGTAACCTCATTATATTGTTCCGCAGATATCTCTTTTTACATTGTAAAAAGTATATCAGAGAAGTATTTGGGAGTCGAATAATTGGAGCGAAATCATTTGGTGGAATCGTTTGAAGTAATGATCCCCTAATGGAGGTATCAGAGGCCGATGTCAGGAATATAAACGCCCTCATGTCGGTAATAACTGTAATAATAAACTTTTTCAACGGCTCTTACAAACAGAAATCAGAGGTAAAAAATTCGGATGGTGCGGATTAGATTGAGGTAATGACTCTGGCTCTGGTCGATATTCGCGGCATAAGACCAGTTTTGCCGGCCAAATCGTCACTTTCGGGATTACTCTGTGCCAGAAGGAAAATTAGAATTAAATCATTCAGGGAAACCGAATTCTTACTCGACACTTGAAATCATTTGTGAAGGCTCCGTATAAACAATGTTTAATAATTTATTTTAAACTAAGACCATTTGAAATAAAAATTGATAACCTACATTCCCACTAGACTGGCCACTTGCGATAACCAACCTCTCTTCTTTCGAGGTTCTTCGCCTTCGTCAGTAGAAATGTTTTTACTTAAATTGAACAGTTCCAAATCGTATCTTTCTTTCCAGGTGCTCACAGGGAACAGTAACACCTACCTCGTGGTGCGACAACGTCTAGAATTGCCGTTCGTCGCCAGCAAGGTGCGTTTCATCCCCTACAGCGAGCATCCCAGGACGGTTTGCATGCGCGTGGAACTCTACGGATGCTCTTGGGAACGTAAGTAGGAACCTCATCCTTCAATTTATTATATTAGGGCCTAATTAGTAGATGTATTGTACCGCTAGATAAATCAGGTTTTAAAACTCAACATCGTCAGGACCACGAAAAATTTTACTAAAACTAAAAACACGGTATTATAATTAACATTTATATATCAACGGGTTAGAAGATACAAACACAATTTGTTTATTGCGAAATCATCAGCAAATATGCATGAATATTTATAAAACATGATCAACTGAAGCAGGGTGCGAAAAGTTACAGGGTAATAAGGGTACGCTGCCAAAAACACTTATTTTTAATAATTTTAACATTCATATATCACCTCCAAATTAATCTCGCTAGAAGTCTTAAATTATCCCCAATTATCCTCAATTACCCCCAGATGCAGAGGCTAATTGAGGATTTCTTATTTAAAAAATGTGTCAATATTTTCAGGTAAATATGACAATTAAAGAATCTCGTCTATTAGAACTGATAATTAATTTATGAATAGAGAAACAAACGGTGAAAATGGACTGGCATGTCGACCATTGGAATTGAATCGTTAACATCCTAAAGTCAATTATGGCAAAAGCATTTGAATGTTCTCTGTTGAAGCGAGATTTATGCCAATGATATGAATTAAATTTTAATGAAATCTATATCTACTAAATGCGAATGTGATTATTTTTTGTTTCGAAAGATTGACCTTAAAATCATATAAAGTCAATCTTCATTTCAAACAATTAATAATTAAGGGAACGCTTTATGGATCTTCCTTTTTAAAACTGGTACTGTTTATAATATAAATAATTTGTTTAAAAATATTCTAAAACATCTCAAAATTAGCTTAATTATTGCGCAGTAATTTTATAATTTAACTATGAGGCTAGAACAGCTAGGGCAACGCCAAGTTAGTTGTTGCCAAGTTCCGGTCAAGTTTGCGCGTCAAGTTTGATATAGTGGATTATCCGCGGCTGTGTAAATAAATATACAGTGTATATCTCGCCACCACGCATCAACTTAGCACTTAATTAAACTTGTTGGTGTTTGAACAACGCACCACGGAGTAATTTCCCTGCTCAAATCCGCCATGTAATAATTAAAATGGCTATTGTAAGACGACGCTAGGCTCTAATTGAATTACCCAGGTCGCTGGATTAAAATTAACTTAATAGTCTCTGATAAACTATAAAGATTGAAATGTAAACATCAATTGGTTGTAGAAACAGCTGAAACTTGAGGAAACATAATTATGATACGTGTTTCTAAAGGTCGATATACAAACGTTTAACAATACTCAATATATTCAAAAGTCGGTGCTCATCTATTTTTTGGTTTTATGAAATTTTATTTTTATTTGTGCTCTCCGTTCTGTTCTCTAAAATGAGCAAAGTCAACTAAAAGCTTCATGCGTAACGGGCTTCCTAGAGAAAGCGATATATTTCAAAAGGAACCTGACTAACAACAACACTGAATAGAGATCTGGGAACATGTTGTGCTTTGTCCCGACCTCAATCAATCTAACCGAGTTCCTGTACACTGGCAAAAGATTTCATGGGAAAAAGAGCCCGTTCATTACAAATAGTCGGTGAGATATGTTTAACGTTCGAGAACTTTTAAAACTTAGTTTAAAAGTGATGAAAAATCGGTTAACTCGAGATTTAGTTGAATATGTTAGAACTAAACGAAAGTTTTCCCAACTCAGATTATGAAACATTATCTCTTTAGTTTAACTTAATAGTTTCAGTTTTTATGAGTATACCTTATCGTTAATTTAAAATTTTTGGTGCAGGAAATATTAATATATTAATAACACAGATGATATTCTTTCTGTCAAGTATGAAGAAGGGAAATTATGCATGCTGATGTATGCCATGGGGAGATTCAAACATCTTGGTTGGAGTAGTGACAATATATTCGCCACCCTTTTCATTGTAACATATCTTACTCCACGCCTCTTAAGGTAATAAAAATGAGGATAAAACATCTCTGCTCATATGTTTATTAAGAGCATTAAATATATTCAGAACAAGAGTAAAAATACAAAGACATTATTAAACAATAATCGTATGTCATTAATGTCTTAGAAAAGTTGAAAGTCGCTTTGGAAAAACAGAGATCTGGGATGTATGACTAGGTTAAAGAGTGTTACATTCTTATCTGGAAGCAAAACCAGATATTTCTTTCTGATCTAATAATAGAAGTGTGTGAATAGTGTGAGACAATATATGCGTAGGAAAATGGCATCATTTTGTCTCATAATTGAAGTATATAATATGTAATACATTTCATAGGAAATTGTAGACGTTTTTTCATTAGAGCTCAAGTTTTCCCATCTTCAATCTTTATCTTATCTTTCTCTATACCAATTTTTTTGTTATTTATTTATATTATTCCACGTTTCAATTCATATACAGCTTTCAGTATTGTCTTCTTTTCTGTACAGTTTAACAATGAGACATAGAGAGATCCTAGAGGCTCTGTTCACAAAACGCTACCCCTCTAACGTAGAACGCTTGACGTGTTTTCTAAGGTCGAATTTAAAGAGGACCGATATTCACGTCGAAGATAACGCTTCTCTATTTCATATCTCACTAAACCCGTCCGTTAACCCGAACAAGCTGATATCTTATAAGGCCCAAATGTCAAGGGTGTTCTGCTCCTGAGCACGTCTTTTGTGGCAGGAACACAGGAAGTCGGGAGGGACTAATGTCATTAAATAAACAAATTCGTACAGACCTGGAACGCCTAAAAATGTTAACAATTTTAGTTTTAATTTTGCTTTCAAGTCGAGAATTTTTTTTTTTTTATATTTGCGATGTAAATCCAATATTGATTAAACATCAAATTACTTTGAACAAACGGGCTCGATTATTTTTTTGATTGAATGTTTAAAACTAAAATCGGACTGAAATTCAGTTAACGGGTATTTTAATTTGTTTCATTAAACATGTCAGTACCGGGTATTGGTAGTTTTTGTGAAAACAACATTTTATGGAGGTAACTGCATAAAAAATACAGATACAGGAAAAATATGAGGCTCAACAAAATAAAAACAGTCTATATTTAGAATATTGAACAGTACTAAAATTTCGTGAAAACATTTCTGAAAGAATAAGTACAGAAAAAGAAAACTATAACAAATTATTGAGAAAGTGTGGAACGTCAAGCAACAAATTCGCAAAACTTGAAACACTGAAAGTTTAAATACCTGAAAAACTAGAAAAATAACACGTGTTATTACTAATAAATCAATAAAAAATGTTGTCATATAAAAATGCAGAATAAAGTTCAACAAATATCAAAAAACACAATCTGGATGGCATCCTTATAGATCGCATCATTAGATATGTTTCTACCCTTCTTTCAGCGAAACAAAGATAAAATTGTTATATTTATTTTTTTTTTTTTTGTATCAGGATTATTTATGGTGAAACTAGATAAATTTTTGAATGAAGTTACTCTTCATTTTGTATTTTATCAATCTATTTATGGATCCCAGTAGGCCCATATATATTTTTTCTCGCATCCTGCTACAACGGTCGAGCCAAATTCCAACACCTCGAACACATCTGCATTCTGCATAAATTCGATTGTGCTGGATGTAGGCAGCAGCGAAAACACCCCTAATAATGTTTGAAAATTGAACTGATCATATCGTTTGTGCCTATATTTTGAAATGTCCGCGTAAATTGCGGGGTCAAACTACACGGTGCCCGACTGAATTGAATTTATTTATTCATGCCATGGAGTGAACATCCACATTTGATAGGTATTACCAGATAGCAGTGTACCTAGTTTTTGCCGGGGTTTGATGAACGCTTTCAGCGCACTAAACTGATATACCTTTTGACGTTTGGCGTATCGGATTTTGCAGATATTTGTTGCTTTGTTCGGTGTTTACCGTCACTGCTTTTATCTAATCAACTATTCATTCTGATGCTGAAAGCTGTCGGCGGAAATGAAACGGGTCTGCTGACTTAATTTCCCGAAAAACTGATAGATTTATTGCTTTATATGTAGAACGCATTTAGCCGGATCGAAAAAATCAATTTTAGTTTAGTTTTAGGCTTCTAGGCGTCGATTTTACTGGCGAATATAACCGTTTTTATCTATGCTTAATTCGGTGAATTATACGGGGTTATGTATCTGAACACCCTGTAGGTATATTTTTATACATGGTGTTAATGAACTTATGTTGAGTAAAATGTAATTTTAAAATCTGACTTACCTTAACATTTGCAAGGAGCCACCTTTTGAGAACTACTGATTTTCATAGAAGTTGTTCGATGTACCCACCATTTGCTTGCACACAAGCTTCAGCGCGTCGTATCCAATTCGCTCGCACGCGATGCAACATTGCCACGTCCTCTCGATTCGTATTACAAGCTTGGGCAATACGATGTCGCAGTTGGTGGAATACACAACACTTTTCACATATCCCCACAAAAAAAAGTCAAATAATAAAGGGGTGAGGTTCGGGGACTGGGGGACACTGCTGCGGCCTATGAAGCACCGTTTAAGCATCTAGGCAATTCAAAAGGTCCTATTAAAGTGTCATTAACGACACTGGCCCACAAGTTCACTGAAAACTGTTGCTGAAAGGCACCTCGTGTGGACTTTAGATAGTACTTCGTGTGGATTTTAGATAGTCCAGTCGTGAATGTTGTGGACGTTAAGTAGACCATTTCGACTGAAACATGCTTCATTTGTTACAAGTATTTGCGCTGTAAATTGAGTTTTTCTTGCTTGTTCGTGGTGCGGGCGCACGTCGTTCAAAATATCTTGCATAGTACACTTGACAAGCTCTGTGGGCATTTTCGTTTATCATAAATTATGAGCATATCAACATATTCGCATTTGCTAAATAAATGCGCAATTTTCAAAAGAAAACTTGGAAATACGGCTATTAAATGTACTCTCCAAAAACAGCACAGCAATCACTACAACAGTGTATTACAAACTGACTTTCGAATACAGTCCGGCTCCATAAACTCGTAAAACGTGTTACA